AGACATAACCTTTCTGTACCTCCTTTTTCTCTTCTGTAAAATGAGAATAAAGGTAATTGGACCAAAATATGTGACTTATTAAACTCAATGCCAGGCACATAATCAGCACTCAGTAAAGGTATGTATGTATGTATTCAGGTACCTGGAATCAAACCCTAGGCCTTTCACATGCTAGGCAAGCACTCTACTTCCATGCTACATTCCCAGCCCTTTTAAGTGTTTGCTTTTAAAGGACAGGGTCTTGCTAAGTTGCCCAAGCTGGTCTGAAACATGAAATCCTCTTTCCTCAGCTTCCTAGTTGCTGACCTTATGGATAAGTGCAACCATGCCCAGTCTCTGTAAAGGTTATTTTTAAACAAAACTTTTATTATTCATTGTCATGAGGAGAAATTCATAAAACATACAATTGCATTAAGTAAGTAAGGCTCAGACACTTTACAAGAAAACTTCTAGAACTAACAAATGAATTCAGCAAAGTAGCCAGATATAAAATCAACACCCATAAATCAAAGGCATTTCCGTACATCAGTGACAAATCCTCTGAAAGAGAAACAAGGAAAACTACCCTATTTATTATTGCTAAAAAAAAAAAAAAAAAAGATACTTAGGAATCAACTTAAAGAAAGAGGTGTGCCGCAGTCTGGCTGGGCACAATTCACTAGCCACTTATCAAGCAGAAACAAATTTACTTTTAGAACACACAGGACACACCACAGGAGCTCTTCAGGAATTCCCTCAGAGCCCAACTGCCACCACAGGCTTCCCACAAGCCTCTCAAACCCCTCCACTCCTCCTGCTCAAGAGGTCTATTGGCTGAGTCGCTTGGGCAGAGCCAAAAGAGTCCCCCAATGAGTAGCTCCATGGTCTGAAAGGGCGGGGAAACAGCCCAATGACCATCACCGCAGAGGAGCCAATCAGCTAGCAGCTGGAAGTTTGCTGGGGTTGCTGTGAGCCAATCATCAGCTGGCATCTGGAAGTTTGCTGGCAACTGGAAGTTTGCTGGTGCCCCTTCAGCTGTGGCTCTCAACAGAGGTGAAAAACCTCTACAATGTAAACTGCAGAACGCTAAATATATTAAAAAAGACCTTAAAAGATGGAAAAATCTCCCTTGTTCTTGGATAGGCAGAATTAATATTAACAAAATGACCATACTACCAAAAGCACTATACAGATTCAGCACAACTCCAATCAAAATCCCAATGATATTCCTCATAGAAATAGAAAATGCAATCATGAAATTCATCTGGGAAAATAAGAGACCCAGAATAGCCAAAGAAATTCTTAGTAAGAAGAGTGAAGAAAGTGGCATCATGATACCAGACCTTAAATGATTCTACAGAGCAATAGTAACAAAATCAACATGGTATTGGCACCAAAATAGACTGGTAGACCAATGGTATAGAACAGAGGGCACAGAGACAAACACACATAAATATAGTTATCTCATACTAGACAAAGGCACCAAAAACATATATTGGAAAAAAGATAGCCTCTTCAACAAATGGCGCTGGGAAATCTGGAAATCCATACGCAGCCAAATGAAATTAAGCCCCATCTCTCACCATGCACAAAACTCAACTCAAAGTAGATCAAG